GTGACACTACAACAGTCATAAGTATGAAAAACGGTCATAAATCACTTTTTTCAATGCCATTGGAACTTTGAACTATCACTAAATGAACTGTTGTAAGTCAAGAACTGCCTGCATTAACTCATCTGCATTGACAGTCTAGGAAGACTGCCTTGAAATAATATAAAGAAAGCAATGCTTTTCATGTGGTCAACCTTCACATGTTCTTTCAGTAGGTTTTCTTTTTACCAAACTAGATACAATAAGAATGAGGAACATATGTCCTTCTAGATGTTGCTAATTATCTTTCCCAGCAGTTGCTGCTGTCATGAATCAGGCTGAAGGATGCTAAGAGTTGGACACTATTTTCTAAATCTTCTCCCTTCCATTGTTACATTTATTTATTTTCCTACTGGCAGTTAGATCTTTTTTTGGAGTTTCTAATAGTTGGAACATAGCAGCTTCAAGGAAAGTGGGGTCAAAGATAGGAGTCAACTTTTTTTATTCTAGTAAAACTGTGGTTTAAACTGCTTTTGTATTAATTTCGTACCAAGCCAAGATTTACATTTAGACAGCCCCACTGTCTATGATTCTAGTTAAACAATCTTTAATAGTGACATGGACTGGATCATAATTAAGCAGCTTGGAGCTTGTTTAGTAGCCTGGAGGCACATACAGTATTCTTCTTTACACATTCCTCCCTCACTAGCCTCCCAAATTAGGTTGCCCATTGGTATATAAAATTGTGGCTACACAAACATGTCTAATTTTATCTCTGGTCAAAACAGGCTGTCACTTGTTCTCTGGCATGAAAGCAGAATATTTTCTGCATTGTTGCTTGAAGTATCACTTGTGTAATGGATCTTCCAATGTAGTTTGTTTTGTTTAGTTAAAAGATAAAATTCGCTAAGCTGTAAAGATGTCATATATTATGCTTATTAGTAAAAAATGTTTATTTTCTCGATGTTGAAAATATCAAGCAGGTCTCATTTTAGGTTGTATCATATTCTGGTTTCTCTTCAGATGGTATAAATCTTTCGCCTCATTTTAGGTTGTATCAAATTGTTGTTCAGCAGGTTGCTCTTTTTTTGCTATAGTATGTAACATTTAGAAGGAGTATATCAGTATATGAGAGACATTATTTGAAGATGATCCAAATCCAGTCTGTCATATATAAATCTGATGGTTAAGGATACGGAACAGCCCAGGATTTGCATCATTCATGTCAAATGATCTGTGCGGAAAGTGCATTATTGCTCAACTTTGCAGCATGTCCTAAAGGTGCTTTTTCAAGAGGAAACTGGACCTTCTTGTTTTTCTCTGAAGACATTTCACTTCTCATCCAAGAAGCTTCTTCAGCTCCGACTGTTTCCTAAATAGAACAACCACTTCATAAACGCATAGCACAACATAAAAGAACAAACCCATCAGAATAAGATTCAGAAGACCATCTGCATTTAAAAGACAAAGGTCACTCTTTTGAAGACAGCAAAGTCCACATTTTGGGCAGAGAGCACCATTGGTTTGAAAGAGAGGTCAAAGAAGCTATCTATGACAAAATTAAAGAGTCCTTTCTCAACAGAGGGGGAGGGATACAACATCATCCATCTCCAGTCTACAACACAGTCCTTTCAGACGTTCTAAGGCTCCACACCCATTTGCACTACTCAGGTGACCCTGAGGACACAGATAAATGGAGGTTAAATGGAGGCTCAACAACTCTCTAACAGAATGCAAATGATCAGCTGTCTGCATGAAATACAAATCCTTCCATTCCCCATCGTCCACTAGTCAGAGCTGAAGAACCTTCTTGGATGAGAAGCGAAACGTCTTCAAAGAAAAACAAGAAAGTCCAGCTGCCTCTTTAAAAAAGGAACTTTGGGACAACCATGACCTGGATGACTGAGAATCTCCATAGGCAACTCTGCAGCATGTTTTAGAAATGGGAGAGTGTTTTCATCAGAAAAATCCATCTCAATCAGAAACATCTGCAGATCTTTTTACCTGGAATCGGGCATCTGCCTTGGCTCGTGAGGCAGTTTCAATCCATCCTGACTACATAACAGCAGTTGGGTATGGGACTGTATGGATCCAATTTAGCTTGCTCCACATTGGAACATACCTCTTTCAGTTGATGAATAATTCAAAGGAAATACAGCAAAACATTCCATGTTTGCAGAACACCTTTATGTAGTTGAAGGGCATCCACTTAATATTTAAACTAAATTTTATTGGAAACAATTTAACATGAAGTATAATGTCTGTCTCATTGTTTGGCATTATTCACATATGGAAGTTAGGGGTACTGGGAAGGATTGGACAGTTCAGTTTTATACTGTTTAGGATTCAGTCTTAGAAAATAAAACAATACAATGTCCCCATCAATTCTGCTTTGAGTATGCAGATATTTGCTTTAAAAGATACTAAGCTTATTTTCCAAAATTGAGGTCTATCTGAAATTTCTGTTTTGATTTTTTTTATACATCAACTGGTTATAGAATCAGTTTAGCCTAGCAGTTAAGACACCAGGCTACAGAAGTTTGAGTTCTGCCTTTGGCCTGAAGCCAGCTGAGTGATTTGGGGTTGGCCCCTCTCTTTCAACCCCAGGAAGAAGGCAATGACAATCCACTTCTGAACTTTTGCAGGGACTACTCCAGGCAGTCTGCATGAGTCAGCACTGATTTGAAGGCATTAAAAAATTGTTATATTGTTTCTGCATAAACATGTGTATATGTAATATTTATTAAATTTATCCTTTTTCTAGAGTTAAGCTAGTGCACATAATACACCAGGTCAAGCATAAAGGTAGCCAGGCTTGTCACGTACCGTATTTTTGGAGTATAAGACGCACATTTCCCCCATACACACAAAAAAGAGGGTGAAAATCTGGATGCATCTTATACACTGAGTACAGCATTTTTGGCCTGCCGAAACCCCATCCTCTTCATAAAAATGGATGTGCAGAGGGTTTGGGAGACCTGCAAAGTGCTCCTGGGGGGCTGGGGAGGGCAAAAATGAGCAAAAAACAGGCTCTTTTTGCCCTCCCCCCAGCCCCCAGGAGCTGTCTACAAGCCTCCTAAAGGCCATGCATGCCCTTTTTTTGGTGGAAAATGAGCCTGTTTTTGTGAAAAATGGGCCATTGTTTGCTCGTTTGTGGGCCCCCCAGCCCCCAGGAGCTGTCTACAAGCCTCCTAAAGGCCATGCATGCCCTTTTTTTGGTGGAAAATGAGCCTGTTTTTGTGAAAAATGGGCCATTGTTTGCTCGTTTGTGGGCCCCCCAGCCCCCAGGAACACTTTGCAGACTGCTCAAATTCTCTGCATGCCCCGTTTTTCACAAAAAATAGGTGTGCAGAGGGTTTGGGAGGTCTGCAGAGTCCAAAAACATTTTTTTAAAATTTAACCTCTTCAAAATCTTGGTGTGTTTTAAACTCCGAAAAATATGATAAGTTCAAATGCAGCCAATATGTTGTCACTGGTCCTAGCTAAGCCCATTGTGCAAAGCTAGCCACAGCACGGCAGTCCAATGAAACTGACTTCCAATGGCATAGATTGCCCGAACATTCCCGCTAATGCGTATTCTCACTCTGATTAACTAAATTACCAAAACTCATCTGGGTTGCTGAAGAAGGTGGTTTTCTATGCGAGTATATTTTCTGATTAGAAGCCTTTACTGAGATCCAGTTCAGAAGTCGTGAAGTTCAATAGGTGCTCGGGGCATCAAATCAATTTCTCTGCACTCTGAAGCTGCATCTTTTCCTCATTACCCCCACACACATGCCGCTTCTCTTTTAAAACATCTTGACTGATGAAGAGATCTGGAGGCCTTGAAAGCCTGCTGATTCTTCGATTTTTCTTTTTCTTTGAGAGTTGCATTAAGACAAGAGCCTGCCTTGTCTTAATGTTGAGAAATGTGGGAAAGTGATGGTGGGGCTGGGAAGGCTCCTCACAGTTCTCTTCTATGTCTTTCCTGTGCAAGAGTGTCTTGTTCAATGAGCATTTTGTAAACCAAACAAAATATTACAGGGGAGACGATGGTTTCCCTGTCATCCTTTCTTTACAGGTTAAAAGTTGTGTGGAACAAATCACTGGACCCGCTAAAGCAGGATGGGAAGGTAAGAGCCTTCCCTTACTCAAGTATGAAGGTAATCAACTTACAATAGTTCATTTAGTGACCATTCAAAGTTAGAACGGCACTGTAAAAAAGTGACATGACCATTTTTTACAATTATGACCTTTGCAGCATCCCCAAGATCATTTGATCAAAATTCAGATGTTTGGCAACTGGTTCACATTAATGACCGTTGCTGTGATAATCTTTTGCGACCTTCTGACAAGCAAAGTCAACAGGGAAGCGAGATTCACTTAACAACCAGGTTCTTAACCACTGCAGCGATTCACTTTAACAACCATGCCATGAAAGGTGGTAAAATGGGGGCCAAATTCACTTAAGAAATGTCTCACTGAACAATAGACATTTTTGATTGGACTGTGGTCGTAAGTCGAGGACTACCTGTACTTTACCGCAGGTGGTGTTTACTCCTTTACCGTAAACACAAAGCAAAGGGCAGAGAGCCGTAGAGGAGCGTGCCGGGCTGGGCTCCCGACACTTGGTGAAAGGAAACACCCGGGAAGCTACGGGGCAGCGCTTCGTTCTCCTTTTTTCCCCTCAGGGAGAGCCCCGCGCAGAGAGCAGCACCACGGCCGCGAGGCGGGGAAAATACCCTCTTCTCGGCTCCCCGCGTCGGGCTGCGCCGTCGCCTCACCTCTTCCCCGCGCCCGCCTCTTCTTGGGCAGTTTTGATTACTACAGACGCCGCCGACGTTCAACCTCCTTGGTGTAAGCGAGAGCGCTCCAGAGGAGGAGCGAGCGCTGTGAAACGTCAAGGCGGAGAAGAGAGAAAAGGGGGTGGGAATATACATATATATATTTATATATTTTAAAAAAAAGATTGCAGTCCTGGACCGCGCTGCGTTGGGATGGCAGTGCTGTAGTGTGACAGCAGCGGCGGTGCCCAGACGCAGCGATGAAATGTAGCTAACAGCAGACCTGCAGCTGGGAAGCAGGCGGGCACCAGGCCGGTTTGAAATGCGCTGACTTCCCGAGCTGTGGCTGGTTTTTTGTTTTTTTTTTTGGTTTTTTTTCCTTCCCCCGACCAGAATCCACCCGGCTTGACTTTTTCCACTCGGCGGCATTCAGTAACTCGAAAGCGCGATTCCCTTATTGCTCGCCGGGTCTCTTCTGCGGTTTGCTGCATCCTCCGCGCGCCCAAGGATGGCGGAGGCTGAATTGCACAAGGAAAGGCTGCAAGCGATTGCCGTAAGTCTGCTTCGGCTTGTTAGGTTTTTATTATTATTTTTCTCTCTCGGTTCTTATGTCTGAACGTGGGGAAATCCAGAGCCTTAAAAGGCTTGCTCCGCATTCCCTCACAAGAGCTGGACGGATGGGCTTTCCCCCACCTCACCTCATCCCCCTTCCCACCCACCACCGTTGTAAAATGCCCCCTGGTGAAGTTGTGCTGAGTTTGCCCTTTCGTTTTTTTGCATTGGCTTCACTGCTTTATGAAGAGCAAATGGTCTGCCTTTGGCCGTGCATCAGTTATAGTGGGTTTGCATATGATTGAGGTGAATAGGAGATGGATGGATGGATGGATGGATGGATGGATGGATGGATGGATGGNCAAGCAAGCTGCCAGGTCTCATCAGGCGACCCGTCATATCGATCACCCCCTCTAATAAGTTCAATACAGTCCGAAGGGGAGGGTGGTTAAAGGCACCATGTGTCGTTACCATGTTCTATAGAGGGACGATCGAGAGCATCCTGCCATATTGCAATTATAGTCTGGTTGGGAAGCATTACTGCTTTGGACAGGAAGGCGGTGCAGAGAGTGGTGAGGATGGCAGAAAAGATTATTGGCACTTCACTTCCTTCTATCCAGGACAGGGCATATAAGCGATGCTTGATCAGGGTCCGCAGTATTGTCTGGGACTCTACATATCCTCTTCATGGCCTGTTTTCCTCGTTACTTTCTGGGAGGGGGCTTCGTGGTATCCGAAGCAGAACACCCAGGTCCAGTCACAGGTTTTTTTCCATATAGCATCAATAGCATCAACCTTGTGAACTCTTTCTGATATGTATCAAAACTTCCATTGGGGCCATTCTTCGCCCTCCCCAGGCTTCAGGAAAAACTCCGGAGGCTGGGTAAGGCAAAACACAGGCCCAATGGGCCAACCAAAAGTTTGGGAATGAAATTCTGATTGGCCCATTGGCCCTGTTTTTCGCTGGAGGTTTTCTGGAGGCGTTCCCAAACTTCCAGTTGGCCCGTTGGGTCTGTTTTTGCCCTCCCCAGCCTCCGGAGGCTTTCCTGAAACCTTGGGAGGGTAAAAAACAGCCCCAACGGGCCAACCAGAAGTTCAAAAATGATCTGTTTCTGGCTTCCGGAGAGCCTGGGGGGGGGCATTTTCACCCTCCCCAGGCTCTGGGGGAGGTCACGTGCACATGTGGGTGGGGAGGATTGAATTGGTGTGGGCATGTGTGTGGTGCAATCGCACGCAGGAACAGTTTTTGCACACCATAAGTCAAAGATTCGCCATCACTGCCGTTGGCAGTGGACGTTGTAACCAATGTAAACACATGCTGGTTGTCAAGTGCTTGAACTGATCATGTGATTGAGATGCTGCAACCCTTATGTGAGGACTAGTTGTAAGTCACTTATTTTAGGGCTGTTGTAACTTCAACAGTCACTAAACAAATGATTGTAACTCAAGGACTGCTTGTACGAAACTCTGGGTTTTAATTTTAAAAGATATAGCTTTAATCTGAAAATCATAATGCTGGGAAGATTGGTCTAAGATGGGTTTGGTTGAATAACAAATACCAGGGACTTCGCTTTTGACGCCACAGAGTCCTTCCACTTGTTGAGCAAGGCTCTGCTAATATGTTGTCATTTCAAATTGAGAACATTCATTATCCACTATAACAAGACATTTGATATGGCTTTAAATTCATTCAGGAACAGACAACTTTTAAAAATTAATCACTAGCAGTGCTTCCTGCCTGATATGCAGCCATGGACTTCACTGACTGGTGGATGAGGAGTGGATGACGCCAGATCTCATAATGGTTGTTTTTTTTAAGGCCCCAGGTTGGAGGAAGACATGGGGAGGACTCTATCAGATAGATATGCTCTCTCTTGGACCATTAATGCTTCTGATGGTTCCAGTGAAAGACATTAATGCTGTAATACTATGCACATTTATATTTGAGATTGTATTGCTGCTGACATACGGTAATACTTTGACCTCTCCCTGAAGTCAGTGTATATCTGGAACCTTAGCAACAGATAAGAAATAGGAAATTTGGGACTGGTATTACCACCCTATTGGAAGTAGATCTTTTTACCTAGCTTGTTATATCATCCCAGCCATTCAGGCTCTGCTGTAGAGAAGTTGGATTTTGGTGACCATAGTGTAAAACAACCAGAGGCCTCTGTGTCCTTCTCAAATCTAATTGATCTGCCTTTTCCGTTGATGCAGACACTGGTTTGAAGAAGAAAAGGATATGATAAAGCTTAGTTTGATCTGGTAGGAAAGTCATTCATAGGGAAGTATTAAAAGTATTTGGGTTGGACATCAAAGCTTTCTTGGTTCTAGTGGGGAGAATTACATGAAAAGGAACATTGCCTTCCAAAAGGCTCTAGCAATAAAGTACATAAAATGGGATTAAAGAGTAGCTATGCGCCAAACATTTTCCATGCCTCTTCTGTTGCCTCATACATGTTGAATTAATTTGCCAGAGGAGAAGGGAAACATTGTGAGATATTTATTGGGCTGGAAACTATGGTGTTTACAGCATTTAAGGAGTTTCATCAGGCTGTGAGATAGAGATCGTTTCATTTTTTTTTTTTTTAAATACATTTTATTTATTTCATTTTCATTTTCATTTTATACAATCACTTATATACTGTGCNAGATAGATAGATAGATAGATAGATAGATAGATAGGTAGGTAGGTAGGTAGGTAGGTAGGTAGGTAGGTAGGTAGGTAGGTAGGTAGATATAGATACAGCCATTTATGTACAAAATATTAGTTCACAAAATTTAGATCGGTACTTGCATCAGAACTAAATAGAAGCATAAAGAATGCATTCTCTTCTAAGGACAGATGCACTCACAATCTGCAGTGATTTGCTACAGATAGTAACAGTTGGCTGTTGCTTTGTGAATTGAGATGAAGTCAAGTATGCTGTACATAATGTTGGTGATCCGTTTGCAGTGCCAATGCTAAAAACTCAGCAGCTTACATACAATTTGTGAGTCTTTAGTAATTGATTTGCAGTGCTGTTTATTCAGAGGTGAGTTCGGTTAATTCTCTCAGGTATGCATGTGCTATTGCTGCCTTGACTGACTTCCTCTGACTCTGAATGGTAACTTGAAGCACCTGAAGTCCTTATCTGGCTTTTGGAAATTAAGCAGAGTTGGACCAGGATACTATTTTGATGTGGAATTATTGGGAAATACCGAGGTTGTGGATTGGACTGGGAAGTCAAAAATAATCCTGGAAGTAGGCAGTGGCATACTACTTGTATATTGTTGCCAAGAAGCCTGTATAGACAAACCATAAAGTTGTCTTGTACATGACTCAAAGGAGACTTTTCTTTCCCTGTTTGTTTAAATAGTTTCTATTAAAAAAATAGGTAAAATGAATGTCTGCATATGTAAGAGTTCCAAGGACAAACCTCGAACCCCTATATCATCTTACACAACTGTTACACACACTGGGGGGGCGGCAGAGGGAGGGAGGGGGAGAGAGAGAGAGGGAGAGAATACCATAAATAGGAATTCAGTAGACCAGCCAACATTGTAATCTTTGTTATAATCACCAACAAGGACTTAGAGGATGATAATAATGAGAGAGAACATACTATATATTCATCATATAAACTCCTTTATAACCCACACCCTTTATTCAAACAATCCTGGGCATAAAAACTGGAAGTTGATTAATGCCAGTTTTGTTAGATATTTAATGTGAGCCAAATATTTGATTTTCTATCAAATATGTAATTAATGGGAGGGAGAGGGAAGGAGAAGGAATAGAAACACCAAAAAGAATTTTTGGACTAGTCTTTGTTCTTCTGCATGCATTTTTCATTTGCCCTGGGAAACTTCAGATAAATATAAATTAATGAAAATATACAGGAAGTTTTATTTGACATTTAAAATCTGTGATCATACTTAGATTTCAATCAGCTCCTGCAGAACTGATTTGAATATTAGATATTAATAGAACTGATAGTGAATGTATTAGGCATATGATACTGCCCTCTGATTTGAATCTAGAGTTCTTCTATATTCTGATTTCTCCACCTCCACCCTGTTTGATCTCTTTGTCTAAAAATATTTTTGGAGAAAGTTTTACATTTGTTAAGTTGATTGCAATAGGCCCAAGAGGTGTGTTTCTGCTCTTCTCCTCTGCCCTTGTTCTTAAGGTAGCTCATGCTGTCCGTCAGTAGTATGGATGCTTTGCTCTCCACTTTATAAGGCTGATATGCTTGGGATGGGTTTTATATAAGCAGATTTCTGTATATTGCAAGTATTTTCCCCCCACATGGTTTGCCACTATCTCCTTTCTAGGGCTGAGGCCCAAGTTATCCAGCTGTGCCTAAGGCAGAACTGGAACTCAAAGACTCCCAGTTTCTGATCCCTTCAGCACCACACCAGACTGACTCTCTACAACCAAATGGGTCTTGCTTTTTCATCCACTCATTATATATCTTTACTGTCTTATTCCAGGCTCTTTCACACTTGACACATCATAATGCCCTTTATCTTCTGCTAAGGTGGAGTGGAGTGGAATGGAAAATAATACAATACAATACAATACAAACTTTATTGTCACTTTAAATGTACACTAATTGGCACACATTAAAATGATTTTTTTTAGCATTCAGCTCTCCGCTTCACATTTGGTTTTGCTGTCTAAATGTGATTTCTTTTATTATTTCTATAATTTCAGTGACTATTTTACTCTTACTGGTTTTTGACAAATAAATAAACAAAGCACAATTCATCCTAACACATATTTTTAGCAACTCAAGAATGAATGGGTAGCATTGACTCAAAAATAGTTAGTCCTCAATTTACAACCATTCATTTAATGACCATTCAAAGTTACAATGGCACTGAAAAAGTGATATTTGGGCCTCGCACCTAGAACCATCACAGCATCCCCACAGCCATGTGATCAAAATCTGGGCTCTTGGCAGCCAGCATGTATTTCCAATTATTGCAATGTCCCGGGGTCATGTGATCACCATT